CTTTTCTTCTCAGAATTGTGAGTTTATTGAAACAAGCTTCCATACTTTGTGGATTAAACTGCTTCATTCACAAATATCTACAAACACATCAAACGGATTAAACAAGAACATTTAAGGCACAGTATGGTAGTTTTCGCAAGAGACAAGCAATATGTGAATTCGCTGTCCCTTTTGATCTGTGGTGTTGCAGAATCCAGAAGTACAAAAAAAGTACCTAAAAATTCAAAAACATTGACCATTGATATTCTGGTTCGTATAACTGATCTATAAGGCCGCTGGAAACCAGTTACTTCCTTTGTTTCCACAGCAAGTGTTCAGTTGTTATTTTCCCCTCACGTGAGCCCTGGTGAGAGGCCCATGGTGTCCAGTACCTATAGTGTCTGAAATCCATCGCTGTGAAACCTCCCCTCCTCTAACCCTCTCTTTCCCCTTTTCTCTCTCTTTCTCCTTGGTCTCGTCTTCCCTGTGGCTCTGTGGCTGTAGACCATCCCACGTCCTGTTCTGCTCTCTGGTTTCAGCTTGACACAGAGCCAACATAGGACACACAGAGTCCTCCTCTTCGTCATCACTGTCCTCCTCCTCATCCTCCTCCAGCAGCTGTGGAAATCGAACTGAAGATGGTGATGAAGAAGAAGGGTGAGAGTTGGAGTATACGTCCCGTTCGTACACAGACAGGGGGAGCTGAAGGTAACGGCCGGCTGCGTATAAGCAGCAGCAGGCTGGGACACACTCTGGGCCTTTCCTCCTCAGCAGACGTAGGCGTTTGCGGTACGGCCCAGGTGGCATAATGCAGGGCTGCAGGACTGGAGGAGGAAGTGGGGTATTTGTGCCAGGGGTTTGGAGGGGACAAGGTGTTGCTGTGGGACCCGATGGGAAGCACCAGTCGCTCTGGAGGAGGATTTCATTTCTGAGGCGACGGAGAAGGTTGTTGATGAGCACGGAGCGCCGTAAGAAGGACTCTGGGTCATCCATGAAACGCAGTTTCGAGAGAGAGAGACTGAGAATGTGAGCACGCTCCTCCAGGACGGGTGACACCTGCTGGCCCGGAAGACAAATTGAGAATTCATAAGTGAGGTAAGGTCAGCTGTCAAGTTAATCTGTATGATTCATAATGTGTTGTGAGGATCGAATCAAGGTGCAGGATGTTAAAAGGTGAAATGCTTTGTTTTGTTCGCAGAGGTATGTAGTGTCATAAAGTGATAAACAGTAAATTAGGGAAACAAAAACTATTAGAAGATAAAAACTAAGTGAAAAAATATTTCAGTTTAATAAAATGGGAATAGAAATGAAAACAGAATTGAAACGGAAAAAAATGAAAATCAATGTACACTATAACAACAGAAATTAAATTAAAATTACTAATAAAATGACTTTAGCTTTTGTATTTTTATACAAATTTTCAAATGAAGTCAAAACTAAATTTTAAAGTAAAAAAATAATATATATAAACAAATATATGAAAAAAAA